TTCGCAACCGTCCAAAGCCTCACTAAAACAAACTTTCTTATGCAAAAGGTGACTAGAATTATTATCATCATCATGCCTACTAGACCTAGTGATTAGAAATTTAGAATTTACTATTATCCTACGTGGCAAAAGCCCCTCTGTTTTTTGGTAATAATTCGCGAGTCGGGTGGCCAAAAAAAAGAAGAAGAAAACCTCGAAAATAAAGCGAGATTCCTTTTTTTTTTTTTTAATTTCTTTTTCCTGCTTGCCAATTTTTTTTTCCTTTTTGCTAATGAAGTGAAGTGAGAGAGTGGGCCCCACGTATCGTGCGACTTTTGATGATGCAAACGAAATGCCGACTAAGCTTTCTTTCTCCAGTGCAACATGTGGCAGACACCGATTTAGATAAAACCTTTGCAGCCACCATCCACGGCGGAGGTTGAAGGACACCAAGACCCCCCCATGATGGGTGGGGGCCCGCCGGCCCACAAGCCCCGCCCCCTTCCCCCCGCCAAGATCCTGTTTGGAATCTCGGGGCGCGGTCTGACACCTGGCGCGCCCCGATTGGCCCTCAGGAAACCTCGATAGGAGACACACGCTCTTGGAAAATATTCCGAATTTTCTCAAAATCTGGAGATCCGATCACCTATACGTCATGACATATTCCCCGACCACACATGAGTTGTTCATCGTGCTCGCTCGCTTTCATGTGCAGGGATTATGACAAGTCGAGAAGTTATCGCGATTCGCAGAATTTAACCTTGTTAAGTGGAAAACTCTCTAAAAGGCTAGACTTAGATAACCTTTTCAAGCAAGAAATTGAGGATCAAAGATCGCCAGTCAAGGACATAACATGATCGATATGATTCACCCGCGATGTCGATGTAAGAAAATCGCCAATAATATCAAGAATCGGAAGAAACAGATCGATCTATTTTATATAAAAATTGCTCCGAGCCATAGGAAAAAAAGACAAGCGTAAGCAGCACCGCATCAAGCAAAGAAAGCAACACGTACACGAGCACGGTGATCTCGAAGATGATACGGTATCGTCAATTCGAATCAATTTTCCGAAGATACGACCCTTGTTCCACCAAATTAGAAAGCATGATTCACGAAACCACGAGGAAGGAAAACGTAGGTTGACGATTCCCACGACCAAAGATCATCGAATGGCGTGCTTAGCTAGTAATCCCCTCTCGTCCGTTCGATCGGGGAAGGCTCCAATAATTCAACGCGAAAATCGCACGACGTCATCGATGACGTCGCGCGGGGGCGGGGGCCGGGGCCGGGGGGGCATTGGTCTCTGCCGGGAAATTCCCTCACGCAGGTGGGCCCCACCCGCCGCCCACATCCCTTCCCCCCACTCCATGCTTGGAGGAAGGGGAACCGCGCCTGCCACGTGTAAGCCAACGGGGGGGCCCGCCGCCGCCGTGACGACGAAAGTGCCCGGGGGGGCTTTGGGGACGACGACGACGACGACGACGACCAAAGTGTCCAGCGACCAAAGGGCGGAAAAAGCGAAAGCGAAGGGGGGGAGCGGGAGCGTCCGGCACACGTCAGCAACCGGGGCCCGCCCCTTCCGGTCGAAGCTGCTCACGTCACCGGGTACTCGGAAAGTTTTGCGTAGTGAAAGGGATGAGGGCGGTTTTGACGATGATTCGACTCCTGACATCGGATCGGCTCGGCTCGGCTTCCGGTCCCGGCGTGGCCCCCACCACCTTCGCTTTTGTTTTGTTTTTTTTTGCGCACCGGCGAGCCAGTGAAACGGCAGAGGACAGGGGGAGACAAGTCGAAAGGACAACAGGACGAGGAGGACCCTGTCTTGCGTGGAAATCAATTTTTGCCCCCCACCCTGCCTTTTTGGTATTTTCCCAGTTTTACGGACCGTACAACATTTTTGTAATTACCTTTCCTAAATTGAGCCTTGGGTTCGTGATAGGCTTTAGTAACGCCTTATTATTGAAGTCGAGGAGGGTTAAATTTGAACGGTCGATTCACTTCGTAAGGGAATCCGAATAGGAAAGCCGCGAAATTATCCTACAATGATGGAGATCTATATGAAAATATTCAATGTCTTTGCAATAATGTCCGGTTCATCGGCTAGTAGTGATGCGTCCTAGCTGATTTGGTCCGTACTTTTTTATGTTGTTGTTAGATCTGTATTGATATGCAATACCTATTTTCTAATCCGGTGTAATTTTTGCTTAAAAAGTTTATACTATGGGTGATCAGTTCCAGAGTAGATAGGTTCCAAAGCTGAAACCTGAAACTAACCCGTTAAAATCGGTTCTCAGTTTTTGGAACATGAAACCTACCATGTATGAATTGACCTTAGAACTTATCCTATTTTTCTCGTCCGGTCCTAAGGACTACCCGAGAACCTTTTTTTTTTCTTTTGTTTCTTTTTTTGGTTTTATTTTTTACAACAAAATAATATGAGTAATAAAACTGTTTAAAGTAAAAGATAAATGGACACAAGCGAGCAAAGGCGAGTCAGGAACAAGGGAGGGTTGCGAGACTCAAACAAGTGAGGGCAAGCTGGGAGCAAGAGAGAATTGTTAAGTATCTAATTGAGGTTGGAAAGAATAGAGAAAAAGATACAAAGAAAAAAAACTGGGGTTATTAGGCTTTATGAAACTGGTTCCAAATTCAGTCCGGTCGGTCCAATTCTTGGGTGGTTCTTCACTCGGAAATCGAGAACCGGTCCGATTCCAAAAATTTGGAACTGAGAACCTAGAAACAAACCGGTTTTCAGGATGGTCTGATCCAAATCCCAAGTAGAACCGGTCCTGTTGCACAGCCCTAGGTCACACCACATCTCATCTCATAAATAGTATAAAATCTAGAACAAAATGCATAAAGATGTCATAACACTCGGATAGATTCTACACCATGAATTACTACTTTCTTTTTTATGATCGAGGAAGCACACTTTCGGTTACCCAAGAGATATGAAACACCCATCCACCTTATGAACAACATAGTAGGACAAAACTTGGATGATTGGCCAGGACATTCATAATTAGTGACATGAGAATAGGACTTATATTGTGCGCCTTTTCCTCACAATTGTGTGACTTTTGGAAAGAAAAAACATTAAGGTCAATTTAACCGGGCTAATTCCAAAAAAAATCACTAAATTTATATTGAGTGACAATTTTGGCCAAAACTTTTTTTGTCTCAATAAAAAGCACCAACTTTTACTCGAATCTCAAATCTAGCCCCTTTGATGTAAAATTTTCAAATTGTTCGGGTCTGATTTAAGATTTAAGTGAAAATTTGTAATTTTTTATGAGACAAAAAAAAATTTAGTTCAGAATTATCACTCAAGATAAAGTTGGTGCTTCTTTTTGGAATTACGCCAAATTTAACCTATGGAATTTCTTTTTTTGGGCAATAAGGCCCTGAGGTTTAAAATAGGAAGTTTGGTTTCGATGGGGTATATCCCCCCGTGACAATCACGAAATCTTTCGCTAGGAGACATTCTCGCCCCTATATGGGTCCTGATCTTATGCTCATAGGTGAGAATGTTTGGGTGAATTCGTGGGGTCTAATCAAAGCTTGAAGGAAAAGAGATCTTTCACGATGGCTTATCTAAAACAATCTTGTTTTGTGTAAAACCATACAACTATACTGGCTATGGCCATATAATGAGTTAATACGCGAGATGGTTGTGAGGAACTCATGCATGCTCGATCTATATAGGCTTCTTGAGGTTGTCAAAATTATTTATGCGGGGAAGGGGTGGCTCATGTATTAAATCGAGTCTACATTGAGCTTATAAACGCTAGGGGTGAACAACCGGATGGGTTCGGTTTGAGAATCGAATAGGACCGGTTTTATCCGATCTGTTCTAGGTTGGTTCTCATGGTAACCCGATAGGCTTTTGGGTGAAAAATCGAGAAACCAATCTTGAGCGGTTTGATATCCTTGGTAATTGGTTTCAATTATTAGGTAGAATTGGTCGATCACTTTTTTTTAAGCTTGCTTAAAAGAATATAGATATATCAAAGATGAGCTTTAAGCATGGCTTAGGAAATCCATCAATGCTTCAACCACTATGCCACAAATTAGGGAAAATTGTTCAAACAATTCTAAACCTATTGTACTTTTGTCAATACAATTCTAAACCTTTTAACTTTGCCTATTGAATCATAAATCTTTCCACATTTTGTCAATTAAGTCAATTCGTCCAATTTTGGCCGGAAAACGCTAACATACACGCCAGCTGTCTTACATGGCACGGCCGATGTGACGCCGACGTGGATAATTTCTAAGAATATTTTGATATTTTAATTAATTTTTTTTTATATTTTTCTTTTCTTTTGTTTTTCTTTTTCCTCCTTTCTTCCTTTGCTAGTTGCCAACTTGGACGATGGTCAGCCAAAGGAAACAGCTGGTTAGGGTTGCCCTTGTCGGCCTCAGGCGAGGGCACCCTCGCCAGGATTTAGCAAGGAGCGACCTCATCGAAGGCCAAGGAGAGCTGGTCTCGCCAGTTTCAAGCGAGGGTCACCCTCGCCGAAGACTAGCAAGGGAGGTTGAAGTTGGCAAGGCTCACGACCTCGTTGGCCTTCGACGAGGTTGCCTCTTGCCAAATCCGGGCGAGGGCGATCCTGCCTAAGGCCGGCGAGGGCGACCCTCACCGGCGGTTGCCTCTGGTCGGCAATTGGCCATTTGTCCGAAGCTCGGCCGGCGATCAGTAGAGAAAGAAGGGATGAAAAATAAAAAGAAAAGGAAAATGAAAATTTGAGTTGAGTTGGACCCAAGCGCTCATTGATTAGACTTCAAATGCAAACTCCCACAGTATTATCTGACGTGGACAAAACAATAAAAACTAAAAAAAAAGGGGGCAAAAAAAACCATCACCAGTACACAGTACTCGCAACTTGGTGACGTCAGCAACCTCCCCACTCCCTCTCTTATATAAAATTCACCAGAAATCCCACTCTTCCCCACTCGCCCTCTCTCCGTTGACAATCTCTCCCTCCCTCCCTCCCCCTCTCCATCTCTCCGGCGACGCGTCGTCCGATATTATGCAAGGACTCTGCTCCGACGACGCCGTCCGCCTCGACCTCGCCGCCCCCGCCGCCGCCTCCTCCTCCGCCTCCGCCGCCGCCGCCTCGTCCCTCTCCATCGACGAGGCCGAGTCGGCGGAGACCCGGATCCAGCGCCTCATCTCGGAGCACCCCGTCATCATCTTCAGCCGCTCCTCCTGCTGCATGTGCCACGTCATGAGGAATCTCCTCGCCTCCATCGGCGTCAACCCCACCGTCATCAACCTCGACGACGACGAGATCGCCGCCATCCCACCGCCCGACGCGCCCGGCGCCGCCCCCCCGCTCCCCGCCGTCTTCATCGGCGGGTCCTGCGTCGGCGGCCTCGAGTCCCTCGTCGCCCTCCACCTCAGCGGCCACCTCGTGCCCAAGCTCGCCGAGGTCGGCGTGCTCTAGCCTCGTAGCTTTGCAAAACGTGGGGGTCAAGTTCCGACCCGGTACGAGATTTCATCTAATGGATCGAAGTCGATATTCATATGTTAGGATGCAAGAAAAAGAATGATATGGTTTGGATTATTAGGTCAAAAGCAGGATATTTGTATTGGTTGTAGCTTGCCGTAGCTTTGATTCGATGGTCAAAACTGTAAGTTGCAGTAGAAGTAGCAGCAGCAGCAGAAGCAGCAGCGGAAGAAGGAGAAGAAGAAGAAGAATCTGAGCACACGTGTACGGTGCACGTGTATGAGATATTATCTTTATCACCAATGATATGATTATTTATTGTCTTGTGATGAATTTGGTGTATTTGGAATTTTGATTGGAACGATAATCAAATCGTTCCCAATTCCTAAGCATGTGATTTGAACTTGAATTTTGGTGCTGTTGCAAGTGGATTGTGATTGATAGTTGATGAAAGATCCATAGTATTTCTTCCAAATCCGAAATACTAATTAGTATATCATATTCTTATTGATTATCGTGCTCATCAATCGAATTCAGATGTTTTTTTTTTCTGGCATCATGTGCTTATATTAGTTTGTAAATCGGTCAACATTCCTAGTATTGCCGAAAGTGGTAAAGATCATTTTTTTTCCTCTTTCTTCATGAAAAATAAGAGCGTACACCGCCTGTATAAAGAAAATTTTTACACGGGCAATCTTATTCCCCATCGATTTGAGAATTTTAATCCCAGTCCCTCACCGATCATCAAGTGAATGATAGACGTTGCTTGTGGAAAGGTTTTTTACGTTGCCGGTGTATGCTGTAATTTCTTTTTGATCGTGACCTAAGTTCAATCTCGTATATATCTCGTAGACAATACCGACTATAGTTTAATTTTGTCGAAAGATCTTTATTATTTGTGAACATACATGGCAACTAAAGTTCTGCCTCCTTTGCTTCTAACATGTATTGTACAAGATTCTGTGGGTCTTGTGGTTAACGTGAGATGATGTTGGAGGCATCGAGGAATGGTTTGGAATAATACTACGTGACCACGACAAAGTAGAGTGATACCCATCAACACATTAAGACAAAGTTCGTCCAATAATTGCAAAAATCTCCAAACCCTAAAAGGGTCACTTTGCTTTCTCTTAAAGAGATCCATTTTAGGGTTTTTATATAAGAATACAAAGTGTTATACGACATGTCGACAATTATTGCGAAGCTCATTATCGTTATTGTAGACGCATACCTCTTAATTTTATAACAAGTCGAGAGAATTTAAACGTAGTCAGGGGCGCTTACTCATCACTTGCTCTAAGTGTGTTCATATGCGGCACTTGTCGTGAAATCGGTGATATTTATATGGTGAAAAAGAATACAGTGACGTCGACAGTGGATCTGATATAAAAACCAGAGGAAAGCGCAATATGTCTCTCGAGACTAAGAATGGTATCTTTTCTCTTTCAAAGATGAGGTCTAAGATTCTTCTAGTGCAAAAGGGTGGAACCGATGATTAGGGTTTCAAGATTCTTGACCTAAATAAACTAATAAATATGAATAAAGAGAATGTGTTTTAAGTTGGCAATCAAGTAACCACAGCTTGGTCTTTTTTTATTTATTTTACTTTTCTGCAGATTTTTCTTTTGGCTTTCTTCTAGCCATCAAAAGTTGCTTGGTATGTCACACTTATAAGGTATATATGAATGCCCCACTGAGCTCAAAATCTGCCATACTTTGACCACTAAATCCTCGAATCTATTCCCCAGAAAGGGTTTGCATCAGACCTAGAATGACAGATATTTTGCTGTTTTATTCATGCAAGAAAGAAGATTTTGTGCTTCGCGCGATGATGCTACATTCCGACGATCACGTGACTTTCGACGTGAACTTAAGCGCAAAAAAAGAGAAAGAAAACCGTCCGATATGAGTGAATATCGTAAATTAATTCCTCGTTTGCTCATGGGTGCTCTCTGTGTGATCGGTCATTATTTAAGAAAAACGTGTTATGTGAAACTTAAATCTTATTATGGAAAGTAAGTTTAATAAAGATTTAAGGATGCTGAAAACTACTCACGAGAACATGACAAGCAAAAAACTACCTAAACCTAGGGCAAGTTTCATCCAGTTTTGTCACCAAACCACCAGACAATATTCTCCAGTGCGTCATGGGCCATTATTCGTTTCCAATTTTTTTTCCCTTTTACAGAATATAAAGTTGTGTGACAAAAATAAAATGCGAATAAAATAAAACTTTTGGCAACATTGTAGTGTTCTATATTGATGCTTTTAGCCTGTGGTGGTTCTGCCAATAGTTGAATTGTAATCTGTGATTTTATAATGTTTGACAGGTGATGAAGTAAATCGAATTCTTGTTTATTTATTTGCAAAAGCGAGGATAAACTTTCCTAATCAATTTTTTATGTTTTGCATCTACCATGACATAGCCATGAATTTATAACTATAACAATGGCAAAGGATTCCCAAATTTCTAACAAAAAGAAAGGATCACAAATTTTAATTTGAGAAACAATTGGTCAATGCTTCAGCACTTGGGACTGTAATAGTGGTTAAAAGGATTTCGGAAATCAATTTTTTAATTACTTCAGTTATGCCGGATTCTAACTTTAGAAGCTTAACGAATGCTTGAATAAAGTTGTGATAATTTTTGGAAAGTAGAAGCGTATATTGTGCGGCAGATCAATTCCTCTTGTAAAACTATTCCGAGTCTATACGTACACACCTCGACATAGTTTTTATTTTTATTTTTTATATATAATTGTATATTGATAATACCACAAATTCTTCTTTAAGGGTCCTTTTCCCTTTTAAGGAAAAAAGGAGGAGGGATGCGAGTGGTGTTAAATTAGTTTACGGCTTAACCTCACTCCACATCAGTTGGGCCCCAAACTCCCTTTGGTTTGGGAAAAGACATTATGACAGCAACCTCTGCAGAACACCAGCCAAAGAGGCAACCATTACGCACCCGGCAATTAAAAAGAATTCTTCGGTGCAACCCTCTGACTCCAACTTGTTGCCGGCTCAGACGTGGGAGCCATGCATTGGCTGTGATGCAGCACCACCCCTCTTGGACACTAAGAGGTTAGAATCTTCACAACCTAAGCTTGCAAGAATCTAGTGATGATTCTCTCCAGAGAGAGAGAGAGAGAGAGAGGGAGAACAGTAGAGAGCACACAGACACACACACTCATCAACTATGTGAAGAAAGTATAAACAATTTGAATTGGTGTTGTTCTTGTCCTTTCTTAGTCTTTTCAAAGGAAGGAAAAGATGATGTCCCAGCCCCACCCAAAGTTTGTTAATGGTGGGGCTTGGCCTTCCACTTAGCCTAAGAAACGGTTCCAAAAGCCTCTTTTAAGTACTTTAGCATTTGAGACGGTTGTATTTTTACCCCCCCGCCCCCACTTTTCAAGGGGAAGTGAGGTCATGGTTGCTTTAGCTTCTTTTCTGGGGACCCAGTTTATTTATTGGTTTTGTTTCATTTCTTGTTTTCACCTTGTGTCCTCAATTTTTCGCTCTGATAATCGACAAAGGAATTTGGTTGAGGCCCATTTTGTCTGAGCTTTCAAATTCTAAATTTATCAGTTAACACCTCCCCTAGCTAGATTCTAGAACTTCTTGAAAAAGCTTGGCTTCAATCAGCCGAAATCACTATGTTATATGTCAGCTTAGATCACTTTGTTTTAGAGAGAGAGAGAGAGAGAGAGAGAGAGAGCGAGAGAGAGAGAGAGAGAGATCAAATAAAAGGAAACAATATGCTCTTAACTTTTGATGGAACAGTATGTGTATGTAGTGTCCGCAATGGGCAGTGAAGTGTGATGATCTCAAGAACGGTCAGATGAGAAACAAGCAAAACATACACTTTTTCTTGTCCTCCTTTCAATTACCATTTGGGTGTGAAACTGCGGTGGAGGTGACAGAGTGGCATTGATTTTTAGTTTATTGGTTTTTGGCTTTCTTCTTTTGCTGATTGGAGCAATCTGAGCGTTTTTCATGCTCCAGGCACTGAGTCTTGAGATCTTGACACCAACTGTTCCATTGTTGAACATATATAAGCGAGCTTTATTGTCAATGGCCAAGCTCGGATAAACCCTGGCAGTGATACAAGTCTTCCCTTCGCCACCGAAGCTCTCAACAATCGAGTGATCAATCTGTGCGTCGATGATTAAAAAAATGAGTACTTGCACTAGGAGAGTGTCACAGAAAGAGAGATGAATGGAAACACCAAAGAATATCACATTGATTTAATCCTACTTGTGTCATTGTCTAAGGCATATAAGATTTCATTAACATAGGACCATCAACTGTGATCGAGGATGATTCTTCTTTGACCTATTAAGCGCGTAAAAGCAGCAAGATTGAGGAAAATTAAATGAAAAGAAACTATAAGTACCAAGCTTCTGAGAGATATTTTCTCCTGACGAGGGTCTATGTCGACAAAACCTCCATAAGTGGTCTTATCAAGGCCTTCCATTAATGACGACCTACTTGCAATGCCAACCTCAAGATTAGATCAGAGAATATATGCAAAAATGCGCAGAGAATCGAACCTCATCGATAAACCTACCTGCTCTGGTCGCTGCACATCAGCACAACGAATTTTCCATGCTGCTTCAGAACATGAAAATAGATTGCTGTTTGTTCTTTCAGGTCCTCAGAAGCCAGAGCCAGCAAACCAAATGGGCCGAGTTTGCCCCTAACAGATGCTGTTTTGCTAGAACAGATTAGTTGCGAATCTACTGAATTGTAGTCTATGGTCTCAGCCTTGGCTAAATCCGTGATCCTGAATGAAACTTCGATATCCGCCTTTAATATGACAAGATGAGCAGTAAGTTTAAAACTTCTGATTACTACTAGCTAATGTAAATAATTATACATTATGTCAAGGTATTGAACTAATTACCTGCGCAGCTGTAATGCCCGATACTTCAACTACCGATCCACCCTTGAGATCCTTACCCAGAGTAGTCACCTCCTTAGCAAGGAGTTTCTCCATTTCTTTAATAGGCCATTGCACCAATTGCTTTCCCGATTTACTAAGAAGAACGTTCCGGGGAATCTACTGGAAACAGAAAGACGGCAATTCGATAAGCTTCCATAAATGGAGAACTAGTTTCAACTATAATGGCGTTAGATAGAATGTAGCAGTGAACCTGGTCTGTAATACAAATATAGATCAGAATTCGTCAGTCCGTCCACAAAATCAATCAATCTACAACAAGATTACTTAACTGAACTACTTATGACAAGTACAATAAATGTACTTTCCTACTGGCTTAAGGTGAAGCGGGAAAAACTGCTTTTATCCAACCAACTAATCACTGATTATGCCTACAAGGAACATGGCTTAAATAGATCCTTAGGTCAAGTTCATTTTTGAACTACTGAAAGTCAGAAGTACCTGAAGTCCTGACCATCCCTTCTTAATGTCCAATGACTTGCTATCAGACTCATTTATCCAGCCCCACAGAATATGCCTCTTTTTTGCACTGTCATAGAACGTCTTCAAAGCATAGAATTTCCCATAGTCATACCGCAAGCCCGAACTTGAAACGGTGAAGTCATTCTTAACAGAGAATTTGTCTGTTTTCGTTTCGTAGTTCCCGAGTATGTAATAGTCGTGATTGTTGAAACTTGCCTTAAGCACATGTTTGGTCAACTCCCCTTGCTCCGAGGTTTCCAGCGCACTCCTGCTTTTAGTACTAACAGGATAAAAATCTGGGCATTCCCACATGTCAGTCTCGGCCATTGAATTAAACAGGCTCCCAATCATACTCCAGCTAATGAAGTCTTCGCTTTTGTAAAGAATCGCGGTCCCTCGACCTTTAATCTGGCTTCCAACTAGAAGGCGCCACACCTTGTCCTCGCCTTGCCAGGCAGTTGTTGGGTCTCTGAAGAAATTAGGATCAGTTCCATTTGGGGGAGTGATTAATGGGTTATGAGGCGATTTGACCCACTCGCGGAGCCATGGATCAGATGTGTTTTTGGGCATTGCCAAGTTTTGGACCTGACCATTCTTCAGGTCGCTCCCTGTGTAAAAAATGGCAGGTTTGTCCCCGGGAAGAAGGGTCGCCGAACCAGACCAGCATCCATTAACATCAAAAGGCCCTGTCGGATAAATAGCATCCTCATGTTCACCCAGTTGATCAGATCGTAAGATACTGAATGAGCCCACACTATGTTACCCCACACAGCACCATATGGATTATACTGATAGAACAGATGGTAGACTCCACTGTAATACATTGGTCCTGTGATATAAAAGAAACTTCATGAAACCAACACAGCAGTTAACTTCTATCCTTACACATTCAATGTCAATATTTGATGTTGAAAGACATGATTTTGGCGTAAAAGCCGACTTTAAAAAAAATTTGCTTTACAAAATACTGATTTATTTGTAAAAGCCTTTGTCATCTTTCTTAACATATTCAATGCCGCTTTTAACATGAATGAGATGCTGAAAGATTGGACAAACTCACCATTTGGATCTGCATTGTCGTGTCATTGTTCAGCGAAATATGGAGTTGTGCCGGATGACACAAAGCCAGGAACAGAGTCATATCAAGAATCAACAATGATTAGACTAATGTAAACTCATTGGCATCAAAACAGAAAAGAAGTACCAAGAGAAGGGTATCAACTGAATCACCGTTCATCAAGTTTCTCGGAGGTTGGAAGTGGTATCCGGTTCTGTAAGGCTGATCTGTAGCATCGGATTGACGATTTTTTTGAACAGGATCAAAGTCTCCAACTTCAGCTGCATATCCAACTCCTGCACAGAATAATCCTACAACATATATCAGTAACAATTTCATTTTTGGGAACAACTGCAAATAATCTCCAGGTTAGAAAGTTTCTCTCAGTCTACATTCAAGCCTTTTCTGTTTACATCAAAGGGTGTTCGGAGAAATAGATCTGACAACAACTTGCACAAACAAATAGCACATTTCTTGTACCAGTTATGCAACTTGTATTTCTTAATTCTTAGAATATTATCAGGACAATTTTCTAATACTTAGGGAAGTGTGAAAATTCAATGCCAACTTGGGAATAATGCACATGGAGATTGGTTGTATTTTCTGGAGAAAGACCAAAGACTATCAATCAAGCAAGCAATTAAAAAACAGTTTATGAATAGATTACTGAAGCCAGACTCTACCTGACAAAGTCCAAGTTTAAGGGATGCTTTTCAGTGAGCAAAGTTTAAGTTTATCTTGTTTGTCGTTTTGCGTAGTATGTTTTAAGCTCTTAGATTATGCATCATAATGAGCCTCGTGATTGATTAGACAAATTAAAATTATGTGTTGAGAATGGAGACTTATAAGATCATTGTGACCCATTTAGCAGCTCGAGGGCCAACAGTGATTCAGATAAATTATTATACTGCTTCTCCTGGAGCTCATGTGGGGTGTCAGCCATTCAACTAGTAAGGTTTTTTTTCCCAGGAAAAAATAAAAAAGAGGCAGAGAAGGACTATTTTGCAGAAGCATACCATTCATATTCAATCAGGATTACAAAAAACTCTGAATGGTACAATTTTTTATTGATTTAGATTTCTACGCAGTCAGGAAATAATGCAGCGATTCTGCGGATACGTCTCATGGCGCTCTATTACGTGTGGAGGGAAAACATGGATGAAACACTAGAATCAGTCTTGCTTTGAGCATTTCAAATTGCAGAAGCAGATTCCTCACAATGTAGCGGCAACCCTCCACAGGATCAACCCTCCTCGGATCCGCAAAATGAGAGGTTCTCGCACTGAAGTGCCAATGATTCTCCATAGCTCAAACTTTCTCCATGACCAATACGGGCTTTCCTCATACTCCACGCATCCAGTCTCTCGACTCGTACACTAAGAGTTCCATAATTGAAAGTATACAAGCGAGCCGCTTTGTCAATAGCCAGCACTGGATACACCCTACTAGTGATGCATACTTTTCCTTCCCCACCAAAGCTCTCAATAATAGAGTGATCTATCTGCAATATAGTTCAGAAGCAATCATCAGATCATAAGGCAATGGCCAGGGGTCATAAAATCGCAGAAAAACGTACCAAGGTTCTCAAGGAAATCTTCTCAACTTGGGGATCTACGTCGAGGAAAGCTCCATATGTGGTCTTATCGATCTCGTTCCTCAACGAAGACCTGTTATAGCCAATCTTTTACAATGAACTCACAGTACAAGGAAATTTTTCAAAGGAAAAAGGCAAGAATTCACAAAAAGTTATCCTGCATTTTACCTGCTTTGATCACTACACATCAGGACAATGTATTTGTTATGGCCTCTGAATACTCTAAAGAATATTGCCGTTTGTTCTCTCAAATCCTCCGTCGCCAAAGCTAACAAACCAAACGGTCCATACTTGCCCCTAACCGATGCATTCTTTTCACTACACAGGATTTGGGGGTCGAGCCAATTTGGATCCATGAGCTCAGCATCTTCCAATTTGGGCAATTCAAAGGCAACTTCAACATCCACCTTTTGATTTACATTGGAAAACAGAGAGAAGTAAATCTAGAGCAAGGGCGTCATATAAATGAATAAACAAGTTGAGATGACTATAAGATGCAACAGGTCCATTCGTGCACCTGTGAAGCAGTGATATCTGAAACTTCATAAGTTGAACCATTGTCGAGTTCCAGAGACTTAACACCAACATTTTTGTCACGCAAAGTTTTAATTTCCTCAACAGGCTGCTGTATCAGTTGCTTTCCACTTCTGTCTAGCCAAATTTCTCTTGGAAATGCCTGCAAAACAAATTAAATTTGATTCGTAAGCCAACTTTTCTACACACGGGCCTTCCAAATAAAATTTCAAACACGTCTAGTTGCGTGCCACACGTGAATATGGATATATTCATTCGTATTTGCATTCAACCAGATTAAATCACAATTTCCATTATGCAACTCAACTCACCTGAAGTCCAGACCAACCTTTTGCTATGTCATCCTCTGTACTATCCGACTCGTTAACCCATCCAAACAGTATTCTTCGGTTCTTCGCACTGTCAAAGAATGATTTCGAAGCATAATACTTCCCATAGTCCAATCTTAAGTCCAGACTAGCTCCCGTAAGGTCATCATCTGGTAAAAACGTTTCCAGCTCAAGATCATAAGTGCCTAGCACATAATAGTCATGACTATTGAAGCTTGCCTTCATCACATGCCTAGTGCTTGGGTTCAGGGTCAATGTGTCCACGCCATTCATGCTATCCGTGGATACCGGAAAAAAGTCCAGGCACTCCCACATGCCGGTTTTGCTCGATGTGAAAAGAGGATGCTCTGATTTTGACCAGTTGAAGAAGTCATCACTTTGATAAAGAATTGCCATTCCTTTATCGTCCTTCCAGCTTCCAACTATCATCCTCCATTTACCATCTGGACCCTGCCAGGCAGTCGTTGGGTCTCGGAAATTGTCCGGTTCGATTCCTTCGGGAGGAACAATAATCGGATTCCGAGAGAACTTGACCCATTCTTGTAGGAAGGGATCAGACTCGTTCTTCGGAATCGCCAAGTTTTGCACTTGACGATAATTTGCCTCTATTCCGGTATACAAAATAACCGGTCTATTCCCTGGAAGGATCGTAGCAGAACCTGACCAGCAACTGGTGACGTCGAACGGTTCGCTTGGCTCAAGGGCGTGATTAAGGTGAACCCAGTTAACTAGATCATATGAAACCGAATGCGCCCATACCATACCGTCGCTAAAGAGGGTGCTGTGAGGATTGTACTGGTAGAACAAGTGGTAAACCCCTTTGTAATACATAAGACCTGATTGGATCAATCGATGTCAGGATGTGATTTGAACATTCAAGAATTCCTCAAACTCTATTTTGCCGCTAATTCTTTTTATTCTTTTGTGTAATATGTTTCTGGTGGGCGGTGAACATGTTGTTTGAACATATTGATAAGCTCCAATGATCAGTAGTCACTAACAGAAGGAACAAAACAATGGATATAGCTCAAAATCTGCAAGACTTACCATTAGGATCTGCAGGAAAAAAAAACACCCGTTTGCGCTCTCCACGATCAGATTAAGAACATGTCTCGTAACAGCATCAGCACAAAAAAGAAAAAGAGAGAGAAAAAAGGTTTGATTAAACACCAAAGAAGGAATGAACAGATTAGAGGCGATATTGATGGACTTCATACCGTTCAACCAATTCCGCGGAGATTGGAAGTGATAGGAGGTTCTGTAAGGTTGCTCTCTTGAAGTTGTGATGGATCTGCTCCGTGCTGCTTCGAGTTCAGCTCCGATTCCATTGCCCAACAGAGCACAGCATAAGCATACAATGGCCCGAACAGGTGTGGCCATTGTTCTCAAAAGCAGGACAGTAGCTGAGTCCTCCCATTAATCATTTTATGCAAAAAGAAGTCGGGCATTTATAGTCTTTTCTTTTTATTTCTTCCTCGTTAGTTTAATGATACGTCTAAGAATTTGTCTTCTCTTAGGTTGGGAGACGAGAGAGGGTCACCCGTGCAATCAAAAGATTCTTTTAAATCTTGGACGTCCCTTAATAAATATCAATCCTCGTCCTTGCAAGCAGACATGGCCACGGGCCGGTTTTGGCCCGAAACCGGCCCGGTCAAACTCAAGCCCGGCCCATTGATCGGGCCCGCAGTTTGGAACCGGAACCGGCCCGTGGCCTACGAGCCCGGTTCCAACAATTTTGGAACCGGGCCCAGAACCGGCAGTTCCGCTTCCGGTTCCAAATTATTTTAAAAAAATAATAATAATGAAATATAAAACAATTTGAACTCTAATTGCCATGTATTGTAAGTGCATTGATCTCTAATTATAATGCTTGGCTTTGGTGTCTTGAACTCTAATTACAAGGCTTAGCTTGGGTTTTATACACAATGATTCTAATGCCTCTTCGTTCCCATTCGATGTGGGACTCTCGGCTTGCCTTGAACACCTTCAATGTGAGACTCTTGGCTTGTCTTCATACAAATGCCAAAAGTCCCACATCGAATTGGAATGAAGAGACTATCAAAGGGGTTGCGTATAAAACCCAAGCCAAGCCATGGGCATGTGAAGTTGTATGCCTTTTGTGGCTACGATCCTTTGCTTGTTAAGAGCAAAGGGTTCCATTGGACCGCCTAGAACCAGACCGGACCAATGGTCCGGTTCCCGGTTCTATGATTTGCCGGTCCGGTTCTTAGTTCTAAAATTAAGGGACCGGTTTTACCGGTTAGATTCCCGGTTCCGAGCGGAACCGAACCGAACTGGGAACCAATCACCCCTACAATTTACATTTTGATTACAATTTATATTGAATAATTCATTATTTCATAATTTTATAATTTATATTTTTTTATTTCATAATTTATTTTTAAAATTTTTAAATTACGAACCGGAACTGAACCGGCCGGTTCTGGTTCACATATGGCCACGAACTGGCATATGGCCACGAACTGGAATCGGCCGGTTCCGAACCGTGGCCATGCCTACTTGCAAGGTCAGCATTATGGAACTATTGGCCCAAATTGTGTCATAGACTATCACTACAAAAAAACATGTAATTTGCGATGGAAATTTGCGACGAAATTTGCGACGGATTATATTTTCCATCGCAAATTTGCGACGGATGAAAAATCCGTCGAAAATTTGCGACGGAATTTTTATACGTCGCAAATTCCGTCGCAAATTTGCGGCGGAAATAAAAAACCGTCGCTAATTCCGTCGCAAATTTGCGACGGAAAAAAGTTCGTCGCAAATTTGCAACGGAAAATAAATCCGTCGCAAATTTCCGACGGAAAAAAAAACCGTCGCCAAATCCGTCGCAAATTTGCGACGAAAACGCACGTCCGTCGCAAATTTGTAGTTTATTAGCCCGTGATATTCCAGCCCTATCTCTCTCTCTCTCTCGCTCTCTCTCGCTTTTCTCCCTCTTTCATATGTCTGAAATCAGCAAAATTCGCGCACGCATATATTAATCTCGGTGAAGCTTTTGTACCGGTAAGTATCATTAGCTAGCTTCGTGACTATTCATCGTTGAATTGTAATTTTTTTATTTTATATATGTTTATGTTTGTTTTTTTTTCGTATTCGCATCACTGGTTGAATGACCGTGGACACCTCGCCGGCCTTTGGATGAGGCAGAACGGCCATTTCCGTCGCAAATTTGCGACGAATAAGTGAAAATTCCGTCGCAAATTTGCGACGGATCCTTCGACCGTGGACACCTCGCCGACCTTTGGATGAGGCAGAACAGCCATTTCCGTCGCAAATTTGCGACGAATAAGTGAAAATTCCGTCGCAAATTTGCGACGGAATCAAGGATCCGTCGCAAATTCCATTTTCCATCGCACATTAAAAATTATTAAAAAATGATTCTTCAGTGATTATTCTTTTTGGGTATGTGTCTAATTGAAGGTCTCGCAATCCAAGTGGACGTTGCAATTCTCATCAAATTGACCACTTTTTCCTACCAATATTTTAATCAAATATTTGGGTAAGTCTTCTTTACATGGTAATTTTTTCTATTTTTGCAATTTCATATTAATTGTTGCGTGAATAACAAAAATTATAATTTAAAAAATTTTATGGTTTTAATTAAGAACAATAGATATGATATTTTAAATATTTTACCATAATTTTTGACTTTTAATACAGACACAATGCAAAGAGAAAGGGCTTGGATGTATAATAAGAATTTACCTGGACGTCAAGGATTGACAGATGAGTTTCGTACTGGGTTGGAACTATTTTTAGACTTTGCTAGTAGTAAATATGAGTTCATGGATGGAAATAAGTTAAGGTGTCCGTGTAAAAAGTGCGGTAATGGTAAATTTCTTGTGTGTGATCAAGTTAGAGAACACCTTACTAGATTTGGGTTTAGTCCGAACTATTATAATTGGACTTCCCATGGTGAACCATTTATATCTGATGAAGGATATGGAAGAAGTGACCAATTTTCAGTTAGGGAAGAATGTGGCTATTATGAGCAATTGAACCCATACGAGAGGATGGTGATTGATGCAGCTAGTTATAATTTTGTCACAGAATCAAATCATGCAAGTACTAGTTTTACTCCTATACGTGAACAAGTGGGTATTAGTCATGCTTCACAATTGGAAGATATAGGAGTAACGGGTTTTGATGAGAATGTCTATAATGAAACTTTTCAATCTAATCAGTTCCGGGATGTGTTGAAAGCAGCAGATGAACCTTTATGGCCAGGTTGTGGAGGACCACACTAAGTTATCGGTGACGCCCGACTATTAAATATTAAGGCGAGAGCATGTGTGTCGTGGGATTGCTTCAACTCTTTTGTTGAAGTAATGCGGGAATCATTGCCTCGTGATAACATCATGCCAAGTGATTTTTATGATATGAAAAAGCTAGTGGATAACTTAGGTTTTCCGGTTGTAAGGATTGATGTATGTAGTAGGGGTTCTATGATATATTGGAGAGATGATGAAAATGCAGAATCTTACAAATTCTGTAGCCAACCTAGGTACAAGATTAACAGGAGGCCGGGTCGTAATCAGAAGCGTAGACCATGCAAGCAAATGTTTTATCTGCCCTTAATCCCCAGATTGCAAAGGCTTTATGCGTCTAAAGCCACTGCTGAACACATGACTTAGCATGCAAATCATGAAACAGAAAAGGGTCTAATGTGTCATCCTTCAGATGCGGAGGCATGGCAACATTTTGATAGAACATACCCTGAGTTTGCGATGGAGCCTCGGAACATTAGGTTAGGTCTTTGTGCCGATGGATTTGCTCCATTTGGGAAAACAGGAAAAAGTTATTCATGTTGGCAAGTTATCTTAACACCGTACAATCTTCTACCTGGTATGTGCATGAAGACACCTTATATGTTTTTGACATTGATCGTGACAGGGTCGCAAAATCCGAAAAAGTTGATAGATGTTTATATGCAACCATTGATTGAGGAGTTACAATGGCTATGGGTTGAAGGTGTCCCTACGTATGACGTTTCTACCGATCAAACATTTGTAATGAAGGTTGCCCTTCTTTGGACGATAAATGACTTTCCAGCTTACGGAATGTTATCTGGATGGAGTACAGCTGGGATCTTAGGATGTCCGATATGTTTGGAGAGGTCAAAGTCATTTAGATTAAAACATGGAAAGAAGCCCAGCTATTTTGACTGTCACAGACAATTTTTACCGCCAAGTCATCCTTTCAGAAGGAATAAGAAAGAGTTCACCAAGAATAGGACTGAAAGAACGCGTCCACCAATGAGGTTGACCGGCGATCAAATTTGGGAGCGTGTGCAGGACTTTCCAACTGTTGTTGAGAACCCGCACGGCATGACTTTTGCGTACGGAAGTACACATAAGTGGACAAAACGCAGTATATTTTGGGATCTACCATATTGGAAGGCTCATCTTATTCATCATAATCTTGACGTCATGCACATGGAAAAGAATGTTTTCGACAATGTCATAGATACTGTGATGGATGTCGCCGGAAAAACAAAAAACAACTTGAACGGAAGAAAAGATATGAGAGATATTTGCGATCGGCCAATACTAGCTGTGGATGCAAGCAGCAGGGGACCAAAACCGAAAGCAGTTTATACATTGGATAAGCAGCAGAGGCGAGTTGTTTGTCAATGGTTGAAATCTGTGCGGTTTCCTGATGGATATGCTTCGAACCTCGGGAGATGTGTTGATTTGAATGAATGCAAGTTCACAGGTTTGAAGAGTCATGATTGTCACATCCTGATGGAAAGACTAATTCCAATAGCTTTGAAGGAAGTTCTACCGAACTTTGTATGGGGCGCCATTACAGAGTTAAGCAATTTCCTCAATGATATTTGCTCGACAGTGTTAAAAGCATCGCACATGGAAAAACTAGAGAGAGATATTCCAATTATTCTTTGCAACTTAGAAAGGATATTTCCTCCAGCGTTTTTTGATTCGATGGAGCATCTCTTAGTTCACTTGCCTTATGAAGCCAAAGTTGCAGGTCCCGTCCAATTTCGATGGATGTATCCATTTGAGAGGTAATGTTTTTTTTCAAATACAGTTCAAATTAGTTTATCATATAATATGTTCCGATAAGCTTCTTTCTATTTCAACTAGATTTTTATATCATTTGAAGAAAAAAGTGAAGAATAAGGCACGTGTTGAAGCTTCAATTTGTAATGCATATATTGTGGAAGAAGTGACAACATTTGCATCATACTATTTTGAGCCGCACGTTCAGTGTAAGAGGCGAAGAGCAGGCAGAAATGATGAGGGCCCCATTGATCCTAATTGCACAGCGTTCTCTATTTTCAATTATCTGGGTCGACCAAGCGGCGCATGTCAGTTTCGTTACTTATCAGGCGAAGAATTTCATGCAGCCCGTACTTATATTTTACTGAACTGCCCAGAAGTCGAGCCATACTTCAAGTAAG